TGGCTAACAGTAAGTGAGGTGGCGCTTCAAAATCCTAGCCTCCAAGGAGAAACTTGGTTTCACCCTCTCCAAGACAGACCTATTTGTATTCTTGGCAGTCCATGGTATATTCAAGACTCTTCTCCAGCACCACAATTCAAACGCATTGATTCTTTTTCTGTCATTCTTAGTCATTGTCCCGCTCTCTGATGCACAGCAAGTAATTGCCAAGAACATGGCCTGGATTAGGGACACTTTAGTCTCGAGACTGACATTGTTGCTTTTCAGCACTTTGGAGAGGTTCCTGACAGCAGATTTTCCCAGTGCAAATCGTCTTTTGATTTCTTGACTGCTGGTGTTAGGAGTGCTGATTGTGGAGCTGAGCAAGCTGTAATTGTTAACAACTTCAATCTTTTCTCCATCTATCATGGTGCTGCCAATTGGCCCAGTGTTGAGAAACTTTGTCTTCTTGATGTTGACCTTCAATATTGAATCTCCTGTGGAATGCCAGAAGAGCAAACAAATCTGTCCCAGAAGAAGTGCATCCAGAATGTTCTTTGGAAGCAAAGATAGTGAGATTAGTCACACATATCCTTTGGGGAGGTTCCAGGTGAGGTCAGTCTCTGCAGAAAGATATGATGCTTGGGAAAGTAGAGGGTTAGAGCAAAAGGGAAAGGCCCTCAATGAGCTGGACAGACAGAGTGCTTGCAAGAGTGGGCTCAAGCATAGCCTATATTGTGAGAACGGCCCAGAACTGGGCAGTGTTTTGTTCTGTTGTATGTAGGGTTTGCTGAGTTAACATTAAATCGATGGCATCTGACAACATATAAATGAAGAATTACAGAAGAATCACAAGACATAACTTCCTTGTCTCGGCCACACTATGTCCTCCTCTCCTCAGCACGGTTATCACACAGGACCCTTCACCCTAAGCTCTTATTGGCCTCACCCCAAGTTCACCATGATAAATTACATCACGTCTCACAAGGCTTAGACAGGATCAGACCCCCAAATGGTCCTTCATGAAGTGCCCAGTCCCTGAGGGGCTCTGATGTTGGTGTGACCCAAAAGAACTCAGAACAAGGTGAAGGGCTTTCTGCAAGATGATGACATACTTTGCAGCAAGGATCAAGGGATGAGCACAACACTGGTGGCTTAGTGATAAGGAATTGTGCTGCCAATCCAAACGTACATAGTTTGAATCTATCAGCTGCTCTACTGGAGAAAGATGGGCAATCTCTTCCTGCATGACCTTTGAAAAGCCACTGGAAAGTCAGCTATGAGTTGGTTCTAACGCTACTCAACAACAATAGCATGTCTGTGAATCAGGAAACTCTGTAGGGAGTTTCACTACTAACCAACCCAAAGGTCAAGAGCCTCTCTGAGGGTCTGAATCTACTAGCTCCTCCAAGGGGGGAGGATGAGTAGTCCCCTCCCACACAATTAACAGCCTCAGAAACATAATGGAGGGTCAGACTTCATGGCAGTCTGTAAGTTGTGAATATAAGCTCATTTGGGAACAGGGTTTTTCTCTGTTATGCTATTGAATCGTGTCCATAGGTCATTACACCAATAATTTTTGAGATATAAGAGTAGATTAGATTAGGCACAAAAGCAAGGAAGGAAGCAGAGATGGGGCAAAAGAGATATCACCGACCACATGAAGACGGCAAAGGAATGCACGAAAGAAGCCAAAACGCCAAAGAAAACCTTCTCCTAGAGTCAGTGACCTCAATTCACACTTCTAGCTTCCTAAACTGCGAGGAAAGAAATCTGTTCATTAAAACCACCTCCTTGGGGAGCTCTGGTGGCCTACTGGCAAGGAGCTGCAACTACAATCCCAGAGGCGCACGGTTCGAATCCACCAGATGCTCTGCCGAGGAAGGAGGGACAATCTCCTCCTGTACCAGTCAGATCTGATTTGACGGTACACTCACACACACACACACAAAAAAAACACGGACCAAAATACCCCCAAACAAACAAACCACCTCCTTTCTGGTAAAGCAACACCTAGAAGCTAACAAAAGTGGGGAGTAGCCTTGGAGACAAAGAAGGGGAAATGTCTTTGATGGAGGGGAGACTTCCATTGCTGTCACAATGTTGAAGTAGTGAAAGGACTCTCACATCCACAAAAAAGTCCCTTTGCTTGAGAAATCCAGAATGGGCAAGGGAAAAGGGTTACAAGTACAGAGACAAAGTCTCCGGCATCTGGTGGGGGTAAGGGCCCTGCTTTCATTCAGTGACAGTGTGGAGGTCACCGGGTTCCCTGATAAGGAGTCCAGGTGTTCTCAGGGGCTCACAGGCTCCAGAAAAAAGTGAAAATCTGAGCTGGGGGGTTATGAGTTCAAAGTTCTTAAGGGAAATCCCCAGTTTGGAAAGGATTAAAGGATTTTTGCTGGAGGTAGTTTGAAGGGACAAGGTTCTGTTAGAGGGCTCCCGGTTGGAAGGTCAGTGGTCCTTCCTAGGATGTGCTCTGGGTTCCTTCTTAGAGTATGTGTGTTATCCAATGCTGCTGCATCAGAAATATCACAGTGGGTGGCTTGCAGAACAGAATTATATTTTCTCCCTATTTTTTATTGTTAGGGGCCATCAAGTTGGCTTCCACTCAGTGACAGAATGAAACACCGTCAGATCCTGCCCTATACTCAAGCTGTGTTTGAGCTCATTGTGTATTTTTAATATCTTCCAACCGGAGGGGCTCATCTTTCAGCATCATATCAGAAATGTTCTGCTATTCATAAGGTTTTCACTAGTCAATTTATTTCAGAGGTCAGTCCTTAATCCTCAGCTTCTTAGTCTGGTTGTTCTACTAAAACCTATTCATCATGGGAGACCCTGCTGGTATCTGAAATTCCTATGGGACAGCTTCCTGCATCATACAAGCCATCACGGTATGGCAAACTGACAAGACAAGTGGTGGTTTCTCACTGTTTAGGAGGCTGCTGTGGTTGCTGTGCACGGTAGAGTCAGAAGCAGGTCATACGTGATTATCCAGCAGGTTTTCAGAGGCAGTAGATCACATGGGAGGAGATAGTCAATCCTTCTCCCATGGAAGGGCTGGTGGATTTGAACCATGTACCTTTGGGAGAAGGACGTCATGCTCGGAAGGGTTGAGAAACAGCACAGGAGAGGAAGACCCAGGATGAAATAGATTGATATAGTAACTGGGGCAATGGTGGTTGTCGGAATTAGACTGGCTCAGGAATGGGCAGTCTTCAGAGCTGCTGTCCGTAGGGTCGCAGGCAACTTGATGGCACCTAACAACAACAACAATTTTGAGATTGCAAAACAGCTTCTTATCATTAGGCCACCAGAGCTTCCTTTGGTGGGAAACTGGAAGTCCAAATTAAAAGAGTATTTGCTCTTTTTCTCTGTCAGTTTATATTCTTTAGTCTTTCCTCATCTCTGTTTGCTTGTTTAATCTCCTTTATTCTAATCAATCTCCTTTGTATCTGAGGAGTCACTTAAAACACACCTTATACTAATGTTGTCTTATTAACACAGCAAAAATCCCACCCATTCCTAAATGGGATTATAACACTACAGGAGTAATTGTTAGGTGCCATCGAATCAGCTCCAGCTCATACCAACCTTTTATACAAGACAAAAGCATGCCGGATCCTGAACAATTTCTGTCATGTCTAAACTCATTTCACTCAGAGTCTTGCTCTCCTTTTCCCACCCTCTACTTTTCCCAGCGTGAGGTCCTTTTCCAAGGATTGGTCCCTCCTGACAACATGTCCAAAGGCTGTGAGACAATGTTTCACCATCCTCCCCTCCAAATAGCACCCCGGCTGCACTGCTTCCTAGAAAGATCTGTTTGTTCTTTCGGCTCAGTCCATGTATAGTTCAAAGTTCTCGTCAACACAATTCAAAGCCATCAATTCTTCTTTGGTCTTCCTTATTCATTGTTCAACTTTCAGATGCATACGAAACCATTGAAAAGACTATGGCTTGGGTCTGCCTAACGACAGGGGTGAGGATTCACAGTATATATATATATATATATATATATATATATATATATTGGGGGAGAGAAACATAATCCAGTCCATTATCGTGAGTTCCTTCCAGCGTTCTCATTTGGGAACTGTTGAGTGTCTGAACTGGGAAACACAAAGTGAAAAAGGAACTTTGGGTGTCCCTGTTGGGAAAGCAATCCTGTATTGACGGCTAACCAACCACATCTTAATAGCATGAGGTGTCTGGGAAGAGGACAAGTCAGGGATACCTGTTGGAGAAGCTGGGGTGTGGAGTGGGGTGGGGTGGTCTTTGAGCTGAAGAAAAGAGGGGTCTTGTTGGGTAAAGGTTTAGGAGCAGAAGGGTGGGTGTCTCCAGGTCCTTGCTCAGGGACCTCTACTAGGAGGCCTGTTGTTGTGTGCCATTGAGTCAGAACCAGTCCAGAGCTGATCTTCCAGTGGGTTTTCAGAGGCAGTAAATCGCATGAGAGAAGGGTGAAAGATCTGGAGGTAGGTCTAGGGTTGGTCTTGGCTGGAACTCCCAGGTCCACAGGAAGGTGACCCTCTATTAGGATTTCAAGGCTGTGACTCTTTCTAGGAGGAGACAATCCTCAAGGAGAGAGACTTAGGGATTTGAACTGCCAACCTTTTGGTTAATACTTCATAAATTTGTGATGAAGCAAGGGACGGGGTACTGGAAGGGACTATCTGGCCAGTGATGTGACTGTCAAAGGACCAAACCAGGAGTTGAGGCTCTTTTATTTGGGACCAGAAAGTTCTAGCTAGAGGTCTTCTGAGGTCCAGGCTCAGAGGGGGCGGGATGGACTCAGGTCTTAAGGGAAATGGGGGTCGAGGAAAGGGTTGCAGATGCCCGTTGAAGGTGCTACGAAGGAGGAAAATGGAGGATTCCCTGTGAAGAGGAAGAGTCTGAGTGAAGGCTTAAGGATAGGATCCTAGGCACAGAGGGGATTGGGAGTGATCCACTAGGATAAGGGAATTGTGTGAGGGCTCCTGGAATCGGAAGGGGGCAGGGACGGGTTACCAGTAGTGTTCACATACCTACGGTGGTGACCAGCGTGCTGGTGAAGAAGAGCGCTGAAGCAAAGTCCCAGGTGGTGTCCGAGGTGGTGTTGGCGAACACGCCGCGCCCCAGCCGCCCGGCCGCCAGCACTCGCTCCACCAGCGAGTCCAGGGCAGAGGCGGCCACGCACGGGCTGCGCTGCAGGAGTTGCGCCCGCAGCTGCTCCAGCTCGGCCCGGAGCTGCGCCTCGTGCGGACCCTCCAGCTGCGCTACCAGCAGCGCGCCCAGCAGCAGGTACGCGGCGTACACCACCAGGGCGCCCGCCAGGAGCGCGCCCCGCCGCATGGCGCCGCCGAACCGGCTCCGTGCCTGGCCCCCGCGGCCCAGATGACGTGGCCCCCGCCGGCCGGCCGCTCCGAGCCTAGTTCCGGGAGTGCAGGAGGCCCCGCCACCCACAACCCAAAGAGGAAGAAGAACAAAAGGAGGAGGGAAGGGTGCAAAGATGCCCCGCCTCCGGGAAACTGAGTCACGCCCAGCAACCCGCGATCTTGGCTCCTGGAGGTCTAACTAGAAGTAGGGAAAAGGGCTCTGAAAACCCACTGCAGGATCAGCTATGAGTCGGTTCCAACCCCGCGGTATTTAACAACGACAAATGTCTCCCTCGTCTCCCCTCGATGCCTCCTTCACAGGAGTTGTGGCAGGGAGAATCTGAACTTTTTTTCCCACCTGAAAACCAAGGACTCGCTCCTCAACTTCTCACGGCAGCTGCGCACGGTTGCAAAGGTAGTGAGTTCACTGAAAAGGCTGGAGCAAGGAGCCGGGACTGAAGTGCCTCCTGAGCTCCGTAGCCAAAACGTGCGCCTGGAGCGGCGTCCACCCGGAGCGTCACATGTGAGGACACCACAAGTGCAAGTGCCCCCTGTACCTTCCTGAACACGGTGGGGACCCTTAGTCATGCGCCAAATCACTGTTCAGCGCCTGTTTTGGCCTGACCTAGTGCTGGGCAATGCTAGTGACAGAGACAGGACTGGATTCTGCCTTCTTAGAGTTCCTAATGTAGAAAGCAAACAGGTCAATATGAACTGCACAGTAGAGGCTGAAGCACCTGAAGAGCGATTGGCTCCAGAACAGGAAGCCTAAGGGACTGTATAAGCCCAGAAAAGATGGTTGATCCACCTTTGGGAGATCAAGAGGGAGATAGATGAATAGGACCGAGGCACGGTCTATTAGAATTCTTATAACATTGCTGTTTACAATCTTTGTTTACATCTGGAGGGCCCAGCCCCTGGAGAAGGACTGGGACCCTTTACTATGCTTGGCAAAGTAAAAGTTTGGAGTAAAAGGAGCAGACTTTCAACCAGACAAATTGATTCAGTGACTGCAAGGATGAGCTTAAGTACAAAAGAATTGGTTAGGGTGGCACAGGATTGGACAGAGTTTTATTCTGTTGTACACAGGGTCACTGTGAACTGGAACTGACACAACGTATGTGTCACATACTAGCACATTTGACAAAACTAACTTTTGTTATTATAGCTGAGCCTCCAGTTAATTTTAACAATCGCTTGGAAACAGGGGTTGGGGGGAGGGATAAATTGCCCATCTTTCTCCAAGCCAGAAGCTGGTGGATTGGAACTGTGGGCTTTTGGGTTGGCAGTGCAACTCCTTACCTCCCTTATCAACATTTAAGGGGATATGTTTCTCTGTTGTCACCTCACCCCACTCCTAAGTTTCTTTACATCCCTCCCCCAACCGGAATGCCAGGCTCTCCTTTGTCAGCTTCCTGAATGGTAACCAGAATTCTGATCACATTTGGCTGGCAGATGCCTGTGGCTTGCGGCCCAGCTTAGACTCACCCCAGCTGATTCTATTTAAAAAACTGACTGTTGTGTTTTTTTTTAAAAAAAAAAAAAAAAAGAAAAAAGAAAACCAAACAAACACAAAAAGCTGACTGTTCATAGACAACCCACGGGAAGAGATATTTCATAATAAAAATACTAATAGTAGCTACCAATGATCAAAAGCTTATAGTATTCCAGAATTCATGGAACGTGGACTTACATCGAACTCCCAAGCCCTCTCATTACTGTTCTCATTAAACCCATGAAAGAACTGAGACATAAGGGAGCTCTGGTGGCCTAGTGGCAAGAAGCTGCACTGCAATCCCAGAGATACGTGCTTCGATTCCACCAGATGCTCTGCTGGAGGAGGGGCCGTCTCCTCCTGTACCAGTCAGATCCAATTTGACGGTACGCACACAGAAAATAATAATATAAAAATTTTTAAAAAGACTATAAAAATAAAAATTATAAAAAAAGAACTGAGACATATAAATAAAATTATCACACATCTGTTAAGGGGTGAACATAAGGACAGTAGGAAGTACAAACTTTTAGAATTTTTTTTTTAAATGCACAGATGAGATCAATCTAGGAGAGGAATGGTTGGGGATAAGAAGAAAATAATAGCAAAACCCAGGAGATGCCAAGCTGGAGATGGAGATGATGAATGGGAATACTTCAGTCATGTAGTAACTGAGGCTGGACCCATAAGTGAGTGACCATAAGTAGTCTTCAGGGTCCCAAATAAGGACAGTGCCTTGGCTGCAACAAAACTCGGTGTTTTTCCAGAGGAAGAAGAAACCACAGTGGTGAGATCACTTGTTGACATCCTCCCGGAGTTCTTTCTTTGCCTAGAAGTCACTTCTATCATTGCTTTGCCTGAGAGAAGAGGAGGAAACTGAAAGACCAAGAAGAGAGTCAGAGGAGATTGAGAAGGAAAAAGGGGTGGCGACGGAAGAGTAAAAATAGGAAAAATCAAATAGGACAGACGGAAGCTTGTCAGGGCTCCTTACTTGCAGGTGCATCTATGTGTGCAACGAGTTGCTGGAGTTATAGGGTGTGCGGTGTTTTGTTAATGTTTGTTGGACGTGGAGGAGGCCAGGTTGCATCTCCAGAAGATGAGTGGATTTCTGGGACATATCCTAAATAAAGTATTGATGTTGGATGTCTTTTTCTCACTGTAAATATTCTTTTTATCACTTTATTACTTAAAAGACTGCCAACATTAGAGTTCAAGGAATTGGGGAGCATAAATGGACCTGCTATCTCATGCTCCACACTCTTCCAGGGCTTTCTAGTGACCTCAGGGATTTTAAAGTCCCTCGAGCTCCATTTTTCCATCTACCCCTTAACTTGACGCTTACATATCCCATCAGACCTCATAAGTGAGCGTAGTCTCCGTTATCTCAGGTTTCTCTCCCGACCCGAAGCCTCGCCTTACGTCACGGATTTCTGCCTTTCACCCACTGCTCCCGCCTCCCGGCCTTTGTGAGTGGGTGTGTGAGATCGCGACTCCCATTGGCTGGTTCGTCACTGGAGGGACGTGGCTACGGGAGCCGGGCGGACGTGTTCCGTCCCGGGGCTGTGGCGGCGGCGGAGGATGCACCCGACAGGCCTGGCGGCGGCGTCCGCAAAAACGGCCCGGCAGCGTAAGTGGCTGGCGTACGTGGCCGGCGGACGAGATCGGGAGGGTGAGGGCTGTTGGGGCTGCAGCGGCGGTTGATGGGGGGGGGGGGGTGTCACAAAAGGGCGGGAGTCATGAAGTCAGGTCTTCTTCTAGGCGTGTCCATCGCCCGGATGGCTAGTCCGGAGGGGGCGTGTTAGGGTTGATTTTGGGGGGTCATTCTTCTAGTACTCGGGACAGGATATTATGTGATATGCAGAATTATGTGATAAGCGGAGGAATAAGACTTTCATTCATTCGTAAATCGTAACTACTACCCACCCATCTGTGGCCCTTGTGCTCTTCAGTGCGACCTTCACGGCCCCCTCAGTGTGCAAATCTGATTGTGTTTATGTCTCATTTGATGTGTTTTATTGTATTCTTAACCCTTCGGTTCCCTCAGTTTTCACTTTCAGATTGCTCTTCATCTCCACGAGTGTGCCGTACATTTCATTTATTCATGTGTCGCCAAATCTGTATGTTTGGATTTAGTAGCCAAATTAGTTTGACCTCAATGTTTGACAGCTTGGCATTTAGTGGTTAGTGTGTGTCGTGGAGTCGGAACCAATTCATAGCAGACCCTCCAGAGGGTTTCAGAGACAGCAAATCACACAGGAGGAGATTGCCCATCTTTTTCCTGCAGAACAACGGGCAGATTGAAACAACATGTCTTTGGGTTGGCAGTACAACTCCTTATCACTAGCCACTGTTGTTGTTTTGTACCCTGGAGTCAGATCCCACCTGACCCTCCAGCCTGTTTTCAGAGACTGTTAATCACATGGGAGGAAGTTGCCCATCCTTCGAACCTTTGGGATTGCAGTGCAGTTTGTTATCACTAGGCCACCAGAGCTCCCTCTCCAAACCACTGTTGTGTTATGTGCCATAGAGTTGCCTGCGACTCACAGCGACCCTTATGTACAGCAGCTCTGAAGCCGGCCCTGTCCTGAGCCACTCTCACTGACTCCGACCACCCACTCCCTTTGCCCAAGTTTCTGTATCACTCCATCTCATCTGGGTCTTCCTTGCTGCACTGCACCTTCACCCTCTAAGCCACTAGAACTCCCTAAGTAGGAAATAATATAGTTTAGGGAATGGTGGTGGCAGTCTAATACGGGGGTTGAACTGCTGACCCAAAAGCAGCAGGAGATTCAAATTTACCAGTGGGTCCTCTGGGAAAAGGATGTGGGGAATCTCCTTTCTTGCAGTCTACAACCTTGAAAACCTGCTGGTGAGTCATCATTGAGTTGATTTCTACCTCCATGGTAATGAGTTTCTTGAAGGGCTGCAAAGGGAAGACCCTCAACAAGATAGACTGACAGTGACTTCAAGCATATCAGACATCATGCGTGGTGAGGATGGCACAGGATAGAGCAAGGTTCAGATCTTGTTCAGAAGGCCATTCTGAGTCAAAGTCAACTCATCAGTGCCTCAAAACAACTATGATGCATTAGTGAGGAGAAAGGGGTATGTGCTGAGAGGGAAGGGCAGCCGAGGCCTGTGCCCTGTAGATAAATGAATATCTACTTTGAAATCCTGCCAAATGCTCAAGAGAGAAAAACCAAAACCAGTATTAGGAGAGAACAAGGTAGGACCAGTGCTCTGTACTGGGCAAGAAAGCGGGCCTGAAAAGGAAACACTTGAACTGAGTTCTAAACGCTGGATTGGTTGATGGGAGGACATGTTCCAGGTGTGCCATGCTGAGGGCCTTGTAGGGCCAAAGAGCTTGGGCAGAAGCTTGTGAGAGCAAGGAGCTTGGCCCAGGGGAAGCCATGTGCCTGGGGCATGGTGAGCCCCTTGTGGCAGTGGGAGTGGTTGACAACCTGGGTCACACAGAGTCTGGTCAGCATTTGGTTTTTATTTGCAGCACAGTAGGTGCTGATCTTGGGCAGAAGAATAACTTCTAAAGATCCCTCTGGTTGTCATTTAGAGAGAATGTTGCTGGCATTAAGAGCGAAGAAGAAGGAGACCAGGCAGGAGGACATGGAAGTGAGGTGCAAAGACGTAGTATGACAGGGGAGGGTAACGCTGAGAAGGCAGCCACTATGACTGCTGGACTGGATACTGACAGAGGGGAATGGAGTTTGGACAAGGAGGTGAGGGCCCAGGCACAGCCAGAGGCAGTTGGACCCAGGAGAGGAGGTGGTAGCTGGAGACAGCCCAGTCACCCCAGGCACAAGGAGACGTAAAGTTGGGGATGTGAAAGTTGCCTAGGTGAAAGGCTATGGATAGGAAATTGATTACCACATTTCAAAGAGCTGGAAAGAAGCAGAGTGTGAATGATTAAGAGTTTCTGTCTTTTTCTTCAGCGCTGCATGTTCATTGCTGCAGCAGAGCCTAACACAAAGGTACTCTGTACAAGTTTACAGGACTTAGGAAAAATAGTTCTGTGCAGTACAAAGGAAGCCAAGAGGACAGAGTTGGAAACTGGCATTTGAAACAGTGGCATCATATACTTCTACGGGATTGAGAATGTAAAACAAGCCTAGGATGTAGCAGAGTTAAAAGGTGTTTTAGATGCTGAATGAGAGCAGAAGCCAAAATTGCTGGGATTTGAGGGAGTGACTGGATATCCCCACTGAGTGGCACAGACAGTTAAGCTCTGGGCTGTAAAGCAAAAGGTTGTTGGTTCAGGTCCGCCCAGAGGTGACTCAGAAGAAAGGCCTGGTGATCTGTGGCTGAAAGGTTATAGCCAAGAAAATCCTGTGGGGCATAGTTCTGCTCTGCTGCACATGGGTCACCATGACAAGAAAGAAAAGGTGAGAAAGGGGAGCTCAGAGGAAAGAAGGCTTGGAAACAAGGAGCTCTCCAGGGAACACGGAGCCTACAGATGCTGAAGGACCTTCCTCCAGAACTGGCAGAGAAGAGGGCCTTCTCCTGGAGCCAGCATCTTAGAATTTGGACTTCTTGCCTCATGAAAGGAAGCTCTGGTGGTGTAGTCTGTAGGGAGTTGTGCTGCTAACCCAAAGGCAGTGCTTTTCCAGAGGTTTGAAACCACCCTGAGCTCCATGGGAGAAAGAGGGCAGTTTCTTCTTGTGTGATTTACAGCCTCTGAAAACCCACTGTAGGGCCAGCTAGCTATGAGTTTGTTCCAGACTCAGTGGCAATGAGTTTGAGTTTTCTTGAGCCTCATAAACTAAAGCCGTCTGCTTGTGTATCTCTGTTACAGCAGCACTAGATAGCTAAGACGGTGAGTGAAGTAAGTATCTAGCATGTGAGATAGTACTACATTCTGTGGCTGAAGTTTTGTAGAAGTGAAGCTGTAGACAGAATGGTCAAGGCAGCATCACTGAGCAAGACCAAGGGGAGAGAAGCATGTGGGTTTCTAGGGGGAGAGCATTCTAGGCAGAGGAACAGTAGAGGCTCTGGGGTGGAGTGGGCCAGGTGTGTTCAAGGAACATTGTGAAGTGGCTGAAACCAAATGAGGGAGAAAGGGCATGGAATGAGATGGGAACAGGGGCCTTGTTTGTAAAAGGGTGGATTGTTGTACATGGTAAACAACAATGACAAAATCCCAAACCCATTGTTGTCACTTCCCTGCAGAGTCACTTCAGACATCGTCAACATCATTCCTGTCACTGTCATGGTTATTAGGATGGATGCAGGCAGGCAGGCAGGCAAAGCCCACACTTGATACCTGACCTCACTCCAGGGCCTTCTAATAGCAGCACCTCTACTGTACTCTTCCTCTGCAGCCTCAAAGCGGAGGATTCCCATGTCCCAGCCGGGCATGGCTGACCCTCACCAGCTTTTCGATGACACGAGTTCAGCCCAGAGTCGGGGCTATGGGGCCCCGAGGGCATCCAGCAGCCTGGGCTACCCTGCCACCTCCACCTCACCTCAGGAGGCCTTCCTGGCCGATCCCATGTCCAACATGGCCATGGCCTATGGGAGCAGCCTGGCTGCCCAGGGCAAGGAACTAGTAGACAAGAACGTGAGTGGGCTGTGGCTGGAGGGCGGGGTTGGCAGCGGGAGGCCTGGAGCCTTTGGGCCAGAGGGGGATGGGACTCAGGGTCTAGTGGGCCTGTCCTGGTGGCTGTTGGTTTGAGACCTGGGTCTGCCTCCCCAGATCGACCGCTTCTTCTCCATCAGCAAGCTCAAATATTACTTTGCTGTGGACACTGTGTACGTGGGCAAAAAGCTAGGCCTGCTGGTCTTCCCCTACCTGCACCAGGTAAGCACTGCTGATTCCTTGGGGACAGAAGGGAGGGGGCCAGTGGCCCGAGGCTGGCACAACTTCGAGGGGCTGGGAGGAGTCCACCTCTTGGGGTCCTGTGTGCCTCCTGCTTTATCCTCACAGGACTGGGAGGTGCAGTACCAGCAGGACACACCTGTGGCCCCCCGCTTTGATGTCAATGCTCCTGACCTCTACATTCCAGGTCTTATTCTGGGACCCCTCTTCCCTGTGGGTGGGAGAGCAGGGCCGACCTTGCAGAGCCTGGAGGCTCCCAAATGGCCTTTCTTCCTCTGACCAGTATCCATGTGTCTGTCTGCCTCTTGCAGCTATGGCTTTCATCACCTACATCTTGGTGGCTGGTCTTGCGCTTGGGACCCAGGACAGGTAAGGGGACTGGAGCAGATGGAGAGGAGCCAAGGGGTCAGAGGACCTATTGATTCCCCTCTCAGAACAGCTCACCTTGCTCCCAGTGGTCGCCACTTTGCCCTGCCCTCTCCCTTCCTTCCACTTGTGCCTGTCACCGACCTTGTGCGCGTGAACCAAGTCCCCTTCCCTTGGTTACCATCTCCTAGCTAACTGCCCTGCCCTCACACCCCTACACCCTACTTCAGTGATAGGCTGCCACCTTTCTGACGTGTCACCTATAGCATCCCTCATCCTAGTTCAAACCCCTGCTCCATAGCCTGGCACAGTGCAGCTCCCTTTACCTCCCCCCTTGTTCTCTCTGCTCCGACACTGGAGGTGTAGGACCAGGACGGATGAGCTCCCCTGCCCTGACCAGCATTTTATCCCTTCAGGTCTCTGGGACTCAGGAGTCCTGTCCTCTAGGAAGCTGTCTCTGACCTTCCCTTCTGCCCCTAGACTGGGTCAGGTGCCTCTCTGCATTCCCAAAGCCCCACTGAGCTTCCACCAACCACCTTCTGCCCACAGGTTCCTGTCCTAGCCTGGCCTGGGGCCTCTGTCTTTTACTCTGCACTCCTAACACCACACTCCCTCTACCTATACATCCCGTCCCTGTGCCCTCCCCATCCCAGCCCCCATTCTCCACCCCAGCCTTCTTCACTTATCACCCCCAACCAGTGCCTTCCTTGTCCTGCCTGTACCCCAACCTCACTGTAGTCCAGAACCCCCTGTCCCCACCTCCCCTGACCTGGAACTCCCAGCCTGTGCCATTTACTGCGGGGTCTTGAGCTGCATTTGGCATAGGGCTGGGTCCAGGAGGGTGCCCACCGAGTGACGGTGTGCACCTGGGCGCCTACAGGTTCTCCCCTGACCTCCTTGGGCTGCAGGCGAGCTCAGCACTGGCCTGGCTGACACTGGAGGTGCTGGCCATCCTGCTCATCCTCTACCTGGTCACCATTAACACTGACCTCACCACCATTGACCTGGTGGCCTTCTTGGGCTACAAATATGTTGGGTGAGTGCCCCGCTTCCACCTAGCTCACCCCAGCCCCCAGGCCTTTCGCTCACCCCAGTCTTCCCCACTCTCTCCCCCAGGATGATCGGTGGAGTCCTCATGGGCCTGCTGTTTGGGAAGATTGGCTACTACCTGGTGCTGGGCTGGTGCTGCGTGTCCATCTTTGTGTTCATGGTAAGTGTGTGCTAGGGGCTCAGGTGGGGTGGGCAGGAGACAGAGGGCAGGAGGGCTGTGCTCCATGTGGACAAGAGCTAAGGATTTCAGAAGGGGAGTTTAGAGCTGAGCTTAACTAAGGAGCTCTGGGGAGGGCCTGCCCAAGTGGGGCCTAAAGGAGAGGAAGAGGCCAGTTAGGGTGCTCATGCCTGGGCTCAGTCCTCCCTTGCACCTCCCCCCTGACATGGTAGGTGTTCCCACTGTCATTTCTGTTAGTATGAAAAAAGATCCAGCGCTTCAGTGGGTCCTCTGAAGGCCTCGCAGCTTGTCCCGCCAGCCCTGAGTCTATGTTTGTGTGTCCCTCCCAGCTTTTGCCAATACTGGACAGATCACCACCCCTCTTTAAGGAGTTGCGCTGCCAACCCAAAGACATGCAGTTTGAATCTACCAGCTGTTCCATGGGAGACAGCCTCTGAAAACTCACTAGAGGGTCAGCTATGAATTTGTTCCGACTCAACAGAGCATGACAACAGTTTTAAGCCTCAGCCTCTGTCTTTATAAAACAAAAATTACACTCATTGTTCCTCAGAATATTAGGAGGATTAAGCCACATTGTGTTTGAAAAGGAAAGGGCAAAAATCTGATGTGTGAGACTAGCTCAGAGATGTTATAATTTATCAGTTAAAAAGAGAAATCGCACCTGGCTTGCCTTGGATATTACCATCAGCCCAATACATGGTGCCTGCAGGGATTCCTCTCACACCATATTCATAGCACAAGACATCTTACTCACTCTGATTCCTGCCTGGCGTTGACCTTGATCCTTTCATAAAACCAAGGCCACTGATGGCCAGGCGGGGAGCAAATCCTGCTGCCCGTTCCTTAGAGGATTTGGGCCAAACTGATGCCCCAGACGAGCGGAGACTTGTGCCCAGTGGCCCCCTGGGAGCTCAGGCTGCAGAGGAGTCCAAGCTTGAGGCAGGCTGCCTAGTACTCATGGTAGAGATGAGAAGGCCCAGGCCGGGAAGGCTCAGGATGGTCCCTTTCATCAGTCTCCCACCCCTCCCTCCACTCCAGATCCGGACTCTGCGTCTCAAGATCCTGGCCGAGGCGGCGGCCGAGGGTGTCCCAGTGCGCGGGGCACGGAACCAGCTGCGCATGTACCTGACCATGGCCGTGGCCGCGGCGCAGCCCCTGCTCATGTACTGGCTCACCTTCCACCTGGTGCGGTGAGGGCTCCGCGCCAAGGCCTCGCCCCCACCGCGCCTGGTGGCTCCTGATTCATCTCCCGCGCGTGCGCCACTGGAGTGCGATTGCTGAGCCTTCCCGCCGCCCCTCCCGCCAAGGTGCTGAGCTCCCAGCTGCACAGGCCCTGAGCGGGGCCGCTGTTACCGAAATAAACCTTGTCGCGCACGCGGGTCGCCGAGTCTCGCTGGCCTGCAGGGGGCGAGCCCTGCCTGGGGAAGGGCCGGGCAGGCCGGGGCTGGGCAGGAACCAGGCACGGTGCAGGAAGGAAGATTTAATGAGCGCCCTCCCAGGCAGTCAGCGCGAGGCCTGCTTCCCCTTGTCCACCTTCTGCCCCTTCTCCGCCTTCTTAAAAACTTCTGCTTGGGTTTCTTGGCCTTGTCCTTGGTACTCTTTTGCTCCCCCGACCCAGCAGCGTGGGGCTGCGGCAGGGATAGTGGGGGGGCGGGGAGGAGGAATACTTGGATGATCCTGTGAGGCACCCTTGCTCAGCCCGGCCCCCACCCCACGGGGCTGGCGTGAGGGAGGGGTGTGAGCTGGGGAGTCGGAGGCAGCTTACCTTAGATTCAGCCTCTGAGTCACTGGAGCTGCTGCTGTTGTGCTAGTGGGAATCCTGGCTGTGAGCCTGGGGGACCCCACTGACTGCAGACCCCCTCACTCGTACCCTCACCCCCACTCCGGGCAGCATCCTGGGGTCAAGACAGCCCCCATCCCTCCACCTCATGCAGTTTGCCTGACCACAAGGTAACTTACCCTGGGCTTAGCAGCTACTCCCGCCACTGATGGGCCATGGACTTTGGAGGGGCTGTGTTTGGGGTCCCTTCCATGACCTGGCCCTACCAGTTTCTTGGAAGTGGGGTCCACAGCTGTAGAGAGAGTGGAGGTAGATGTGGAGGTCCATGCAGGCAGTAGCCCTTGTGCTGGAGTCTGCCTACCCCCAATCCCCTTTACCCCCCTAGAAGCACACCTGCTGCCAGGTCGAACTCCATGGTGGCAAGTGAAGGTGTGTGCAGGGACCCGAGAGGGCCGGGGCAGTGCAGGGCCGGGTGGGAGGGGCTTAGGCCCCACCCGCCCTAGGAATCTGAGGAGTGCCACCAACCTTTGTCAAAGGCCTGAACCTTGACTCATTGCCCCGCCCCAGCCCTACCCAGCTTTTCTTCTCAGGTGGAGGGCAGTAGACTGCTTCCACATGTGCTTTGGTGGATGGTGGGACTCTGGATGAAATCCTTGGCAGGAGCTGCAGTTTCTGGGAGGGGAGACAACACTCATGACCGTTAGGTACAGCAGACTATCTCTCTGTGTAGAAATCTGTTGTTAGATGCCATCCAATCAACAATGACTCATAGTGACCCTGTGAACAACAGGTCTGACCTTGACTCTCATGCCATGCTCACAAGCTCTATATGCTCAAGTCCATTGTTACAGTCACTGTGTCTGTCTGACGTCCATTGTTATAGTTATCTTGTCGAGAAACTTCCTCTCTGAGCCTTCTATCATTCCCCTCCAGGCATCAGGGTGGTTGCTCCTGGATAGAAGGAGGGAAGAATCCATGTTTTCCTGTGTTCCACAGTGATTAGTACCCACTATATGGTTATTGCCTACCAGGTGCTGTTGGAGAACTTGGTATATGTTAATACATGCTTGGTGAGGAGCAGTGTCAGAAGGAGTTAGGGCTCAGAATTAGAACCAGTGCACTGAATTTGAAGCCCAGCCTCACTTAGCACAATAGTCTTGGGAAAGCTGATGCACTTCTCTGTGCCTCAGTTTCGTGATCTGTAAAGTGGGATGATGATAGGTATCACATGGGGCTGATGTGAGCATTAAATGGGTTCATAGAATGGTGCCTGACACAGAGGAAGTGCTGTATAAGAGGAAAGGAAGTAGTGCAACAATGAATGACTGGAAACCCTAAGACTCTGTAAACTTTCATTAAAATTAATTTTTAAAAAAGTGAAAAAAATCAGCTAAAAAAAAAAAGGAAAGGAAGCATTGCTACTCTTATTTTACAGATAAGGAAATGGGCCAAGCTGTTAGGTGAGTTGATGAAGTTCAAACCACATGAATGGACTAGAGCTGGGGTTCAAGTAAGAGTCCAAGGCTCTCAACAGAGGGACAGTCAACCACATCAGCCTTCTCGCCCCATGCTGGCCCGGGTCCAGGTCAGATGGGAGGAGTGGGGGACCACGAGGCTCACCACCAGCAACTAGGCTGTAGGTACCTGCAGGGAGTGATGGGCGAGGACTGAGGCCTCCAGTGATCCTGTTACATCCTTGGTTTGCGTATTCCAGCTCAAGTGCCCCCTTAGAGGGCCTTACTCTGCCTGCTTGCTCCACTAAGCACCCCTACTCCCTCTCCTTTCCCAGCTGCGTACCCACCACTTACCATTGCCAGAAGTTACCTGAATCCACATTCATTCCTTCAGTGTGTATTTGCTGAGTACCTATTGCGTGCCTAGGAGGCTAGTTCTGTAGTGGTTAATGCACCTTCGATGAGATGGATCGATTCTGTGACGAGTGGTGTGAATGAGTGTGTCTGAGACGGCTAGCTTGGCACAGGATGGCAAGTTAGGGCTCTTGTACATAGAACGGCAGTTAGAGCTCTTGTACATAGGGTTGCTATGAGGCGCAAGCAACTCGATGGCACATAACAACAACTGACCAAAAGGACGGCGGTTTGAATCCACTGATCCTTCTGCAGAAGGAAGATAAGGCAGTCTGTTCCTTTAAAGATGTACAGCCTTGGAACCCTCATGGGCAGGTCTGTGTCCCTCAGGATCACTCATGACTCGGTGGTGGTGGATTGTAGTACCTGGCAGAGATCTAAGGCTGAGGTTACTTAAAGGACCTGTAGTGGGGAAGATAAGCAGCGAACAGGATAAAACACAGTATGTTACAGAGCTAAATACCATCAAGCTAGAAGAGAAAATGTAGTACACCCATACAATGGAATACTTTTTCAGCAATTACAAAAAGGAATGAACTGATAAATGCTACATGATAGATGAGCCTAAAAATAGAAACACACATGGGAGCTCTGGTGGCCTAGTGGGTAAGGAGTTGTGCTGCCAACCCAAAGGCATGTGGTTCAAATCCACCTTGCTCCAATGGAGAAAGATAGGCAATCTTCTGTATAATTTACAGCCTCTGAGAACTCACTGGAGGGTCAGCTATGAGTTGGTTCTGACTACAGCAATGAGTTAATGAGTTGTTACATATGTATGTGTGTGTATATGGGAGCTCTAGTGGCCTAGAGGTAAATTGCACTGCAATCCCAAAGGCTGGTGGTTCAAATCCACTAGCTCCTCCACAGGAGAAGCCTGGACAACCTCCTCCTGTATGATTTACTGCCCCTGAAAACCTGCTGGAGGGTCAGCTATGAGTCTGCAGTGGTTCCCACTCAATGCACACAAGCAGATACAGAGGAATTTAAAGAAATAACATATGAGCAAGAGCCTATGGTGATGAAGGAAGAAGTTCAAGCTGCTTTGAAGGAAATAGCAAAAAATAAGG